TCACTTTGAAGTTGAACACACTTATGCCCTCTTTCATGTTAGAAAAAACTAAATTCCCTAAAAATGTATTAATAATAAAAATTAAGGAGGTAAATTAGATAACTAAATAGTTCCATTCGTTCTAGGGATGTCAATTTCGAGCTAACCTGTTTTACCCGACTTGTTTGACCTGTTTTGGTCTTTGGGGCGAGGCGGGCATGGGTATTCTCATCAACCCACATGTCCTGACCCGCCCCATTCTCGACCCGTTCTTGCCTAAATTACATATAATTTTAGTCAAATTACTTAGGATTTTCCTTTTATTACAACATATTTCAGTTGTTATAAAGTTGTAAATTAGTGAAAATCTCAATTTCTCCAATAATTTAATCATAATTTATCATATTATGATTTGTTTCTTGGTCTTATAATGAAAATAACGAATATTACTAATGCTTCCCGTATAAATTACATACTCATTGGGTCGACCTGCCCCAACCCACTCCCTATGATAAATTACCCAACCTGAACCCGACCTGCCCCGGGGCGGGTATGAGTATCCCGACCCGGACCTGCCCGTTGCCATTCCTAATTCATTCTTATTTGATCTTATGAACATGATTTTTTTTACAGATAATCTTATTTGATTGTTAGAGACAAAACGGATTTAGCTAAGAGTGTAAAATAAGATATTGGAGAAGATAAAGAGTAAAAGAACTAAGATATTGGAGAAGATGAGTATATAGAGTGGGATAAGATTCTTTTTATCGAAAAAGTTATGTACATGCATGTTACAACAGAATTAAAGAGTGGGGCGTATAATTGTACATTCTTCAACATACCACAATTTTCAATTTTCATTCATAGTCACACCAACAAACAATATCAATTCAAATATTCTAATATACAAATCTCATATATTCTCAAATCTCTCAGTTACTCAAGTCAACGTGTTTATAAACTGGACCTTTAAACGGGAGAGATTAGGGTTTCACATATTTGTAGATAAAATCTCATTTATTATAGTTGCTAAAGCTGGGAAAATAGCTCAAATTGTTTGAAAACCCAGAACTTAATTAGACTGCACAGTTTGGTCCAGAACATAGACCATTAAGAATGGTCTAGTTTGATATGTTCTATGGTATGTATTATAGGATGCATTGATTTATTGGTCTGGTCTATACTGTGATTCACCGGACCATACCATGAACCCAACCTACTTCCCAATTCGTGTTAGAAGCTCACTTTACTACTCTCTCAACTCCTCAACGAGTCTCAATTCTTAATTCTAATTTTTCATAGCTCATCTCTTCCTTCATTCATAACCACACTATGTTACATAGTAGAAACAATCGTGTTTCCATATGACATTATGGTGCAAGTTGGCTTGCTCTGACTTTATGTTTTTGTAACTTTTACTTGGATTTATGGTATCCAAATTATGCACGTATTGGAATTTATATTATAAGAAAAAAATATTTTTCTTGGTTATTTGGTTTAGTTTTTCATATGGTTGACTAAACAAACTTTTCATTTTTCGCACATTTGGTTTGCATGGTTCAGAGAATACTGCACTAGCCAGCAGATGTGTCATATGGTAAGGACCGTGTAATATTTTGTATAATCCCTGGTCTACACTCCAATTTCTCGGTCCGGACAATAGACCGTATACATTGTTGGTTTGGACCAGATCATACCATTTTCTAGCCTTAATAGCTTGCACGAAATTCCGGGTGGGTAGTCCATAGACTATTTCAACCTCTCACAATATTTCAACAGACAAATATCTCATTTTCTTTAACTCGGATTTTAAAAGTTGCATAGACAGATAAATTTATCATGATATGCAATATGAAATTAATTTCTATATTTTTTGAAGCAAAATTTTCTTATGTGATAATGTATAGCATGATATGACATTAGTATGATGGTGTTATGAAATCTTACAATTGTGATAAGATCATGATACGAGAGTCGTGAAGATGATATTATTGAATCATACCAATACTAATATGATGTGTATACAATAATGTTGACATAACGGAAGTCTTATAAATTATAATAGTGTAAAACTAACGAGATGATGTTTAGAGCTTTATAGAAAAGGATTTTGAAATCTTTCAATCAAGAATCCCGCTTGTTTCTTGGAATTCTTAATAAGTCATTCCATGAACGATTTTTTTTTTTTTTTTGTGTAATTTTACATGATACTATCATAGTAGACAAATGTTGATCACTAAATTTTTAAGTTTGATGAGTAAGTCTATTGTTAGGTTAGAGTGTGTAGTATACAGTAGTGTTAGCGAGTGCACCATAAAAGCCCGCTATAATTAATTATATATAGATAAATTATGGTACCAATCGTGCCACAAGTTGAAATCACAAAATCTTACTGCCTGTCACAAAGTTATTATTGTATACACATATATAAAAGAATTATGTATCGAATAGTAAAACAGAGTCAAATTGGTCATCCACAAGAATAGTTGACCTATTTTTTCTGATTTTGGTCGGTATTATATATCAATAAATTATTATTGAATATTTTATTATATCATTATACTAATTTTTTTTTTCCAAGAAATGTCAAGAGAAAACCTATACAATCTACCCGACCCTGCGGTTTGAAGCTTTTAGTACCAGTAAAATATCATTGGATTAAAGTTTGTGTGTTTGAGAGAGGATAGAGGTTGTCAATCCGGTTTAGTCGGTTGGTTCGGTCGAGTAAGTGGGTTGATAATTAATGGTCCGATCGTTTAGCTCGATATATTAAAAAAGTCACTATATTTTTTTGGTAGAACAAAAAGTCATTATATTGTTAATACACTAATAAATTATATCAAATTTCATCTAACTTAGGAGCAATAACATACAACATTACACCAAAATAACATGCCGTCCTTGCATCTAACATATAGTGAAAATTCACACACACTTATATATAACATTAATATTCAAATGTTCAACCTAGAGTTCCAAAGATTGGTTTAGGCGAAAAGGAAAATCAAATAATAGGCGCATTTTGCAAACAAACAAGCAAAAACGATACAATTTGACCTCCAACTCGTTACTTTGCAGCGATCGACTCGACGAATGTGTATGGTCGGTTTTTCTCACCAGATCAGAATCAAAGTGGATAAATCCTTGGAGAGAGGATTTAGCAAGGTTGTCAACCCGCGGGTTGACCCACGGGTCGACCCAATTTGACCCTAACCCGGTGAGAAAAACGGGCCGCACGCACCCGCTGGACCGACCGCTATTAGGTACCGGGTTGGAGGTCAAATTGTGTCATTTTTTCTTTAGTTTGCGAAATGCGCCTATTTTCCAATTTTTCTTTTCGCCTAACTCAATCTTTGGAATACTAAGTTGAACATTTGAATATTTATGTTATATAAGTGTGTGTGAATTTGCACTATATGTTATTTTGGTGTAATATTATATGTTCTAACTCATATGTTAGATAAGATTTGATATAATTTATAAGGATAAGTACAATATAATGCCTCTTTCTATATTTCCGGGCCAAACCGGGCTAAAACGGTTGACTCATTAACCCTTGACCCACTAACTCGATCGGGTCCGGATCAACCCGCGAGTTGACAACCTTGGGATTTAGGTTTGTGTTGTTTTGCTTTCTATTTTCTTGTGATCAACTACTAGAGAGAGGCGAGAGAGATTGAAATGGTTGGGAGGAGAGAAAAGGACGTGGTTCCCCTCCCACCTGCCCACGCGCACGCGGACCCACCACTCTCTTTCAGCTTGTCCACCACCACCACCGCGGCCGGCCCCCAACCCTAATTTCTATGCCCTCTCTCTCTCTCTCTCTCTCTCTCTCCCTGTAGTCACTACTCACTAGTCAGTCTTCAAGATCGACTTGAGCTCCTCCCTCCTTGTTCTGCTTGCAATAATATTCCCATGGAAACAAATTACTCACAAACTGAAAACCCTAAAAGAAAGAAGAAAAAAAGGTGAACAGAAAGAAGTGACAAAGAACATTAGGTCCCCCAAATCAGATATCCGCTAGCTGGAGAGAGTAGTACTGCAGGGCAAGCAGCAGAGCAGACCCTCTTCCCATTTGCATAAAGGAGCCAGCCAGCCAACCTAAGGGCCGGAAAGAGAGAAAGCAAAAGGGTTTCTTCTGCAGATTAAGGAAAGGAAACCTCACCACCACCCCCAACAAATACACGACTTTTATATTCATATATATATTATGCACAACTTGAACTAGTCTGTCTTCCTCTCTTCTCTCCCAGCTGCATAGCTGCTGCCCTGCAGGCCGCCTGCTTACTCACACACAGAAACAAAGAAAACACCACCACCACCACCACTGCTACTTCATCTTCTTCCTCTGCAACTAGCATCACAACTTGCTTTCTGGGTTCCCATTCTCTGACGAGAGAAGAAAAGCTTCAGTTTCTGCTAACCCTATATAACAAACTAACTCTTTCTTCTCTCCATTATTCCCTCAAACTCCCTTTTGTTCAGCTGATGCATATGTTCTTTCTTTCTTTGTTTATTGTAATTGGGCGAGGATCAAACCTAATTCTGTTTCTGTCATCAGGTTCCTCATCCCCCCCAATTCTCCCCATCCAATCCAAACCCCCTTTTTTTCCCCTCTTTCCTTGATTCCCTCCCTAATAATCTCTTTCTGCATCTAATTCCCTCTCCTAATCTCCTCAAAACCATAGTTCCTCTACACTCACTGTAGTCGACCAACATCAATCAAGGAAACAAAGAAAGAAATAGAGAAAGAAAGAAACAAGCCTACATAACATACAAACAGTAGAGTCCATCCATCCACGGACAGACGGACAAACTTCCCTCTCTTCCCTCCCACTGCCTTTTGACTTTCTCCTCCCATCTCCCCACAAAACAACAAAACTGAGGCCTCTTCCCCTCTTTCCCAAATCTCCATTAACTATTATTCCAACAACAACTAATTACAAACCCTTCCCTTCCTTCCTTCTTTCCTCTCCCTCTCTGTCTTCTCTGCTTAACCCATTTTTGTTTGCTTCATCAACTTTTTCTTAATCCAAGTTCCAATCGCAGCCCTGGCCAACCCTTGGTGGACCGGCCCGGTCGGCGGCCTCCCCGGCGGCCTCGACCTCCACCCTTCCCTCCACAATTCCGCCCTCAACGACGAAGACGACGACCACAACAGCGGCGGCAGCGGAAGCGGCGGCGGAGGCGGAGGCGACCCCAAGGAAGGCGCGATCGAAGTCACCAGGCGGCCACGTGGCCGCCCACCCGGCTCCAAGAACAAGCCGAAGCCGCCCATCTTCGTCACCCGCGACAGCCCAAACTCCCTCCGCAGCCACGTCATGGAGGTGGCGGGCGGCGCCGACGTGGCAGACAGCGTCGCACACTTCGCGCGCAGGCGCCAGCGCGGCGTCTGCGTCCTGAGCGGGAGCGGCTCCGTCGCCAACGTCACCTTGCGTCAGCCCACGGCCCCCGGGTCCGTGGTCGCGCTCCACGGCCGGTTCGAGATCCTCTCCTTAACCGGCGCCTTCCTGCCCGGCCCCGCCCCGCCCGGCTCGACCGGGCTCACGGTCTACCTGGCGGGCGGGCAGGGCCAGGTCGTGGGAGGGAGCGTGGTGGGCCCGCTGGTCGCGGCCGGACCGGTCATGGTGGTGGCCGCGACTTTCGCCAACGCGACCTACGAGCGGCTGCCGTTGGAAGAGGAGGTGGAGGAAGAGGAGGAAGGAGGGAAGGACAGCGGCGGGCAAGGGAACGGGCAGATTCAGGAGACGTCGCCGCCGCCGCCATCAGTAGCGCCTCCGACAATCGGGATGATGTCGGATCCGTCAGCGATGTTCAATTTGCCGCCGAATCTGATCCCTAACGGTGGTTCTCATCACCATCATCAGTTAGGGCACGATGGGTACGCGTGGGCGCACGCGCGGCCGCCGTACTGATCAGAAAAGTTGAATAGAGAGGGTGGTGGAATGAAAGGGAAGGTTTGTTCATTGTTGTTATAGTTAATTTACTAGTAGAAAGGAATGGATGAACATTATTATTCCAGGAAAAAAAAAGTAAAGAAGAAAAATGCTATAGAGAGCTGTGAAGAGGGGATTATATATAATCATGTATGGTCTGTTTGTCTGTCTGTCTGTCTGTCTGTATATCTTTAATTAATAATGGTAAGGTTTGGTTCTGTGTTTTTGTTTTTTGGGGGGGATTTGCAGCTGGGAATAAAACGAGATGATCATTTGTCTGTTCAGTTCAAGGCTCCCCCTATGTTTTTTAAAAAGTCGAAATGTGTATTTAATGGGTGTATTTGGGTTCCCAGACTCCTGCTGCGTACCTAAATATTATTGTTAGGTCATGTTTGTCCATACTCCAAAACTGCAATTTTTCCCACATAGCTTCTAAACGATCATATCAGTTTGGCATTTAACTATGATATATATGTTGAAAATGCTTGGATTTTGATACATAGTGATTATTTAAATTAATAATAATATAGTGTTCGGTTTTATTTATTTATTTTAATAAGACATGAAATGATGGATTGGACTTGGGAGATATGTTGCCGGAGAAAACTACAAGCACAGTCACACAGACGCATCATATATATCAAGGTAGGTGGCCTGAGAAAGACAAGTTTGGTGAATACAAATTGCTAAACAACTGCTTCGGAGCAAAGCTGCAGTAACTTGAGCTCCCAAGTTACAAACTTTTTTTGACAAGATGATCTCTAGATTTAAAATTCGACGTCACAATATATATATATCGCACGACGAAATGTGTAATTGACTGTAACATAGCATATAGATGCTGCTGTATATCAGTATATTCCCAGTGAGCCTTCCTGATTGTGCGTAGAGTCTTCTTGTTTGCCTTGATCACAAGCCTTTAATCTACAAGCTGCTACGGTATTAGCCTTCATTGTGGGGAAAGAAAGAGATGTCTTTTCAGTGGCCGCTGCGTTGGACGGACACCATTGCTTCAAACTTCAAAGGCCTCTGCTGATTCACATGTATATAATTAAATTATTGCACTTAGTTCCTCTGCGGCAATTAATTAATATGTTATTTTTATTGCTCGCATTAATTTAATATATCGGACCAGGGATTCGTTTGTGAGTTGTGACCGTGCATGTTTTGGAAGATTATTTGCTTATATATATTTCCTCTATTTATTAAAGTATCCATCCAATCCAGTATGCTATGCTCGCTCAATTCTTTATTCTACTATACTTCCAAAAGAAATAGTAGTGGAAAAGACTGATGAATATATTTTTTATAGAACAAAGATTGATGAATTTTAAATTTAAGACAGTTAAAACTTCCTTTTAGTGGTTGGGATAGAGTTGAATTTTTTAAATTTTGGGACACAGTTAAAACATCCGTCTAGTGGGATAAAGCTTGAAAAAATTAAAATTTCTTTCTTCATAAACTAAATTACATCTCCATTGATTGGTTATAATTGAGTCCAAAGATTGAGGGTGGAACAATAATCATTAGATTTGGAACACTTCGAATTAAGATTGATTAGAATAATTAAATAAGAAAGTTTAGTGCATCTTTTGTCTTCCACTCTTCTAAGAGATGAGAGTTACTTAAGACTTAAAAGATCGAGTCAATATTATTAAATGGTCAGGGAGTTAATTAAACATGTTATGACTGAATCATCAAATAAAACACAGATTTATGAGTTTAACTAAAACGAGGTGTGTTAGCTCATTCATGAGCATAACATATCAATTTCACTACATTTTTTTTAACATAGTCAAAACCAGACTAAAGTTTGGATCCATAGTCAAAGTACAATACATATCCATGGGCAGAAGTCGACTAATCGTCAATCTTCCGATAAGAGAGCGTTTTTTTTTTTTTGCCACAAGATGGGCTACTCTGTTAACTCAACGAGTAACATGAGATCACGAACAAAACTCTATCATCTTTGCCAACCGACGAATATCAGCCAGTATCACCCCACCCGTAGCATGAAGATTATCTCCTGCCAAGAGATGCTGAACCACCAAATGCACTTAATGAGATACAGATTACGAAGAGAGAAGATACATATAGCACTTTCTCTAAACGCTCTAATCCTAATCTAACACGGACGTGAAAAAAGATAACAGACAAAACTCAAAAACAAGAAAACATATGTATAAAACCTATATACCGTGGGTCAGGTGCCACGTTCTGCTCTTAAGGAACCAAACCGGCGGGGGCTTCGACCGTGGACCCTTACTTGTTGATCGGTCAGCGAGACCTCTTGACATACAACCAACGACAGATAATTCGACTTCTTAGTTAATTATAGCAATAAAACATGAGACCCATTAATATGTAATCGAAGCCATGTCACCTTATTTTTGTGAGCGAGCATATTTTTTCCTTGTACGATCGAGCTCGCTCAAATACTAATTGTAAGATTAATTAATCACATTGGAACCGGAACACTCAAATCAGTTTACATATTAAGTAAGTAATGGCGTCGTTTTTAGTGTTCTTTATAGTAGACAATAGGGAGAAGATAGTATAACAACACCCTATCTATTATTCTATTGTCACTGTAACAACACGATTCATTAAGGGCAAAACTGGAAACTTATAATAAAAATAATAAAAATAAAAAATAAAGTTGTACGCGTTTCCTCCTCCGTTCTGTTCTCCATCGTTGTCGTTCTCCTCCGGCTGCATATGAGATCCCTTAATTTCAACTCTCCTCCAGCGGAGAAACCCTACTCCGGCGCCGGCGAATGTCATGTACACAGAGACCGATTCTTCTCCAACGGCGTTTCTCCTCCGCGTCTCATCATCGACGGCTGATTTGCTCGGCACTTGAATCGCGGCTTGCGAGGCGGTGATGACGAAACCCCATAAATGATGAATCAACTGTCTCAGACGAAGAACAACATAAAGGGTTCTTCTGCTCCATCGACCTCGATTGACGGAATCTTCTCCGCATCCACCCGCTGGTGACGGCGGCGCCTCGCAGGTCAGCGACTGCAACTCTCCACCGAAACCCTTGGTGTCGATCTGGTGGTGGCTGGAATGCAAATAGCAGGACACCGAGTAGCTGCGGAGGGTTGAGATGTCATCTGTGTTGGCGCTGTCGACGTCGCCCGCGGCTGTGGGCGGGGCATTAGAACCTGAAATTGGAGCGGAGAGAAGATGAGGACTATTTGGGACTGCGGGGCTTGCTGAAGCCACTAGATTCTTCTTTTCTAGCCGATTGATTGTTGTAGTTTTCGCGTTCAATTTCTTCTCTGGACGGGTGTCTGGTTTATGCGGATTGGAATTTCTTCTTATAGAGGCGGAGGGAGGTTGACGTTGGGAAAAACAGGGAGATGGCCAGCGGAGCTGGTGAGGTGGTCGGATTCGTGAATCAAAGCTATGGGATTGAATCAACAGAAGTTTGCGATTGCCTGCAAGCAATTGGGGACAGAGTTTCGTTGAGTTTAACTTTGCAGACATTCTAACATTGCTCTTCAAGCCACATCTATATGTCCTTACAGTGGTGCTTTCGTTGAGTTGCATTTCACCTTATGCTCCACATTAGTTTTTTCTGCCGCTGCTGCACCTCAGTGATAATGGTCTTCTAACTTCGGCGGTGGATGATTGATGTTTATTTATGGCCTCTTTCAGCTTTGTCTAGCTAATTCTACTTTGTCCTTTCTGCATGGTACTTGTTACTCTATGGTTTCTTGATTAGATTTGTCTAAATAATATTATTTACAAACCACAAATCTCCTTAACCATACCAGAAACACTATAAAGCATACCAAAAATGTTTATAAAGCACACCAAAAACTTCCTAATACAGACCATAAATCTTCTAAAACATACCAAGAAACCTCACAAAGCAAACCACAAATATTTCATGTGCTTACCAAAAACACGATAAACAAACCTCAAAATGCATACCAGAAACCTCCCTATACATACCACAAATTCCCTAAAACAAACCAGAAATCCCACAAAACCAAACCACAAATATTTTGAAAGCACACCAGAAACCTCATAACGCAAACCACAAACACCGTAAAGCAAACCACGAAAACAAACCAGAAACGTCCTAATGCAGACAAAAAATGTATTAAAACAAACCAGAAACCTCACAAAGCAAACCACAGAATTTTCAAAAACACACCAGAAACCTCATAATTCAAACCACAAATACGTTAAAGCAAACCACAAAAACAAACCAGAAACCTCCTAATGCATACCACAAATCTCCTAAAACAAACCACAAACCGCTCAATGCAAAACACAAATTTTTTGAAAGCAAACCAGAAACTTCTCAATGCAAACCACAAACACGATAAAGCAAACCAAAAACTTCTCAATGCAAACCACAAACGCGATAAAGCAAACCATAAAAGGCATACAAAAATGTGAGAAACCAAACCATAAATCTCACAATGTAGACCATAACATCCGGTGGTCGTTGACCGGTCAACGAAGTTCGTTGACCGAACTCTGATGACCGTCAGTGAGCAGATTCCGACGCCGATAGGCATATTCCGCCCCCGATGACTAGATTCCGACGCCGGTAAGCATATTCCGACCGCGGTGAGCATATTTCGGCGACGGTGGCATATTCCGATGACAAAATAGTATATTCCGGCGACAAAAGGCATATTCCGGTGACCAGCGACCATTTTCCGGCGACCGGTGGCAGAATTCCGGCAACCAAAATTTTGGCTCGGAAATAAAAAATATTTTTTATTTTTTTTATTTTTTTATTATTATTTAAACAAATTTTTCATAATGATAATTATACCCCTGTTTTGATTTTACACTAGGTCAACTCATCTAATAAAAAGTCATCACAATCTTAACTTCCTATTGGTTGGAGACTAGTGTTGTTCAAGGTCTTCTTGCAGTGGCTCCACGGTTGACAATTTACAGCAAAAAATTATGGAGGCCGCAGCCCCACTACTTGCATTATGTTTTTT